CGCTGGTTGAGCATCACTGAACCACAGACATAAAAAAATGGCTCTAAAACTGTTGAAAACCTGTTGCATGGCTTGCAGGCCAGGCTGTTGAGTTCTCCATGCAGCCTGCACAGCCTCTGCGGTTGCTGACCACAGAAAACCTGTAGGTAGAATGAAGGCTGATTCTTTAGAGGGGGAGGACTCTTTCTGTGTAATGACAGCTCTGAATGTAGTGTCCCAGTTCGGTTGCCTATCAAGGGAGACCATCTGACCCTTTTAGTATATGAAGTAGTGATGTCCTAAGCTATGGGATAGGTTCTTCCCTTAGTGCTAGGCAACAAAAAATGACTAACAGTGTCATAGAGGCTGCAGAACTGTGGCCACTGTGGAATGATCAGCAAAGGAAAAGGTGCCTCCCTCCCCCCAAATCAGCAGTGCTTCTGTAGAACAGCACGGGGGGAGAAGCTCCCTTTTAAATGAGGCCTGGTGACTAAAGGCAGGAGTCCCCAGAAATTCTCCTTTGCTTTAGTTAGTGATGGCATGAGAAATCCACCTGTCCCTAAACAAATGGAAAGAGCATTTAAACATTAGAAAACCCAGGGACTTGTCACATATCACTGCTAGAAAAATCCATGCAAGGCGAGTGAAGGGTAGTGGTTGTGATATCTTTTACTGGACAAACTGCAGAGCTGGGAGAGAGGGTTGACAAGCTTTTGGGCACACCTCATGTCTTCCATTTGGTCCAATAAAATATATCACCAAAAAAAAATCCTTGACTCCCATACATTTCTTGGAGCACTTATTCCAGCTTTGGGTCTCCCATGGATTTAACAATCCCAGCAGGAGGCAGGAGTGCGGAGAAAGAGGCAGATGAGAGAGAAAAAACAGAGGTGGGATTTGGGGTAGGTAAGCAGCTTTTGAAGTCTTTTTTTGGTAGGGTTTGTTTTGTTTTTGTTTTTTGTAACAAATTACCCTTGCCTTTGGCTAGAATGATCCACAAAGCTTCCTAGGCACTTTCAAAAGCCATGAATTCTTTTAGTGGTGTAACAGAGTTGGCCTCTGGGGCAAACCCTGCAGGAAAGCGGGGTGGGGGCTTGGTGGTGTGTGGTTCCAAGAGTGGGGGCAATGAGGGGGAGTCTTACCCATGCCAGCCTTACCCATGCCAGGATTCATTCCTACACAGTCCTGGCTGAGCTGCTGGTGCTGGCATATGTGCTCTGCCCACCTTGGCTGTTGCTCATAAAGCAGCAGCAGCAGCCAGGAACTGTTTTGGAGTTCTGTACATGGCAGTGCTGCAAGGGTGCAGGCTTCATGGGGGTGGCAATGATTCTGGTACCCCTTCTAACTTGGCATCCAGGGGCAGTGCCCCTCTTGCCCACAATTAGTTATGCTACTGAATTCTTTTAGAGGAAAGAGCTGTAAACTGGTCATGCAGCTAGGCATCTTAGTTTCACTTGCATTGGCATTTCATTTGCACTTAACGGAAAAACTTCTTTTTTCTTGTGCACACAATTTCACACCTCATTACCTCTGAGAGCGCTCTTTACAATCTAGTCCTATATGTTTAGCTCCCATAACAGTTCCTTGTAGGCCTTAATTTTCAAGCCTTTTAGCATTTTAGCTATCCCTTTCTGACCCTCTCCAAATCACCAAGTATTTGCTACAGTAGTGTGCAAAACCTGCCAGTTATAGGCTCATTTACCTTTCCTCTTTTTCCATGTTAGTCTGCTCTACCTGTGATATCTTTATAAATGTCTACTTATATAACATAATGCTGGATCCACTCTTGTTGTCATGTGAACAGTCACCTTGAAATCAGTGGGACTATACAATTTCGTGCATGAATTAGGATGTAGGATTGGGGCCGACCACATGGTTGCTTTGGGCTAATTTCATTTGTTTGCTAGGTTTGGTTGATATATTTTTTTTGCTAAAATGTTACACTTTCCTTTCATCTCCTCTGCTATCATCAAGGTCATTTTTTCTGCAGTAACAGATTCTGTAGGAGCAGTGATGGAAATACTATTGCTCTGATATATTTTTGTAGAACTATATATTCTACACTATAGCAAAAAGGTTAAAGGTCTACTTAAGCTCAGTGAGTTAGCATAGTTAAGGCACACCAGTTCTTGTAGCCAATGGCACAAAAGGGAGTGATGTGGCTACCATCACATCTGGCTACCTTGACTCCCTAGCCCAAATGACCAGATGCTACTTAACATCTGGGTGGAGGACGAGGGTGCGACCCCACCCCTCTGGAGCTTTCATGAGATGTTTTAACTACTCTGCCAACATGGGCCGTTCTTTATTATATAGAATTTCTTAACGTGGGGAAAGCACTTTAAAGATGAGAAATTACTTTATAAGCACTCTTGCTGTATTATTACAATGTTTGACTCTCTGTTCCCCAGTATTCTGTTCTTCTTTGATCTGTTGGTGGTGGAGAGTTTTAAGAACCAAAATGATGCTATTTATTAGAGCTCTCTAGTGGTGTTCAGACCAAAGAGTGCTGAGGAATTGGACTTCATGTCCTCCCACCATATTTTCCAGCATGAAAGAGAAACAAATCTGTCCTTTAATAAGATGAGGCTGAGTTTCATAAGCATCAATACTGAAATTCCTGTGCTCTCAGGAACTGCAGAATCACATGCAGGCTGGGTAGTTTTACCTTTCATCTTCTGCGGTAAAAACATTGAGCTCCTTGCAGTTTGCCGCATAAGCATCTTTTGAGTGAGACCTTAAAAACTGATGTCTTATCTGCTCGGCCTGGACATTAAAGATTCCATTATGTATGTCCTGGCTACTTGACCAAAGCACTTCTCTTCGCCCTCTGTTTTTCAGTAGGCTAAACATTATTTGTCTTTGTAGCTGCCATTTTCTGCCCTGGGCATTTACTACTACTAGGCTGGCATAAATATAATTCATAGAATCACAGAAAACCTCAAGAGACCATCTAGTCTGACCCCGATGGGGCTCAAAGCAGGA